TAGATTTTCACATGGAGACATTCACATATACACAACAGATAAGTTTATTATCTGTATGGCTTGATGATTATATACTATTCATTAAGTGGAAGTGGATTGTCATAAAGGTCTTCATCCTTGTCTTCATGTTGAGTAAGTGGAAGAAGAGAAGGGATCGGTCTTGCTGTCTTGGGTGGCAGAGCAGGTGAAGGAGTTGGAAGGGGAGGCAGGAAAGACAGGCACATGTGGAATAAGTTTACTGAAATATGTTTTAACTTCTGACATTTTTTGCTTTTTCATTTTTTTAAAGACTATTTCTATACAGTACCACTGTTTGCTTTAGTTTCAGTGCTAGTATGCTAGAAAGGTCCATGTTGTAAAAGAAATCAATAGCAGTCTTAAATAGTCAGATCCTTTCTGTCAGGTTGTCTAATATCAATTTGTTCTCCGTCATTGCTTCTTCTGTATCTTCTTTCTCGTCATCTGGCACTGGTTTGGAAGCATTCATCTTCATCAAGTTGTCTTCTGTTAATTCTTCTGGTGTGGTGTTTATTAGCTCTTACATTTCTCTAAGATTCAAAAGTTGAAACCCTTCGCCTTTTACCTTTTTTGTCATGTACATAAACTCTTCCCTTATTCCCTTGATTGGCTCTGTTGTAAATCCTGTGAAGTCATGTACAACATCTGGACATACTTTTCTCCCCCAGGAATTTATTTAATATTGATGGCTGTCATGGCTTACTACGATGGCATCTTCAGTGGTGTAATCCTTCCAGACTTTCATGATGTTTCTCATCAGGGTTCTCTTCCATAGTGTTGACAGTCCTTTTCAAAGAATACCATGTAATGAGTTGTAAAGGTTCTTATGACCGGTTGATCTAGAAGGTGATTATAGAAAGATTGTGTTTGGGGGTAAGTAGGCCATTTGATGCCCTTAGTGTTGAGCTAATGGGGTTCTGGGTGGCTAGAGGCATTGTCCAGTATCAAAGGAACTTTAAAAGGCAGTCCCTTGGGCACCTGCATGGCTCAGTCAGTTAAGCGGCTACCTTCGGCTCAGGTCATGATCTCAGAGTCATGGATGGAGACCCACATTGGGCTCCCTGCTCAGCGGGGAGTCTGCTTCTCCCTCTGCCTCTGCTGCTCCCCCTGCTTGTACTCTCTGTCTCTCTCTGTGTCAAATAAATAAATAAAATCTTAAAAAAAAAAAAAAAGGCAGTCCTTTAGTGGGAAGGTATTTCCTGACTTCAGGGACAAATCATCAATGGAACCAATCCAGAAAAAGGATTCTTGTTATCCATACCTTCTTGTACAACCAAAAGACTGGAAGCTGGTATCTGTCTTTTCTCTTCAAGGCTTGGGGGTTAACAGCTTTATAGATAAAGGCAGTGCTTACCATACACCTGACTGCATTTGCACAAAATGGTAGAGTTAGCCTTACCTTCTTGCCTTAAATCCTGGAGTTTATTTTTTTCTCTTCCTGACTAATACACTTCGTGGCATTTTCCACCCCCCTCTAGCATAGGGTACTTTTGTCTGAATTAAAAATCTGTTCAGGCCGATATCCTTTCTTCTCAGTGATTCTCTTGATCATGTTTGGGAACTTGTTTGCTTCCTCTTGGTCAGCATAAGCTGCTTTTCCTGTTATCTTGACATTTTTTTTTTTTTTAGATTTTATTTATTTATTTGACAGACAGAGATCACAAATAGGCAGAGGGGCAGGCAGAGAGAGAGAAAGGAGGAAGCAGGCTCCCTGCTGAGCAGAGAGCCCAATGCGGGATCATGACCTGAGCCGAAGGCAGAGGCTTTAACCCACTGAGTTACCTAGGCGCCCCTATCTTGACATTTTTTAAGCCAGTCCTCTTTCTAAAATTATCGTACCATTCTTTGCTGGCATGAAATTATCCAGCTTTAGATCTTTCACCTTCCTTTTGCTTTAAGTTGTTATATAATGACTTCACTTTTCTTTTGAATCATATTAAGCTCTATAAATATACCTGCCTTATAGCAACCCTGCACCCATATAAAAGCTGCATTTTCAATATGAGATAAAAAGGTATTTTGCAAAAAGTATAAGGCTTTCACACCTGTTAGCATGGCTGCAGCATTGGCTTCACGAATTTTCTTTTTTTGCAGTGGTCCTTTATGCTGGATTCATTTATCTGGAAGTAACAGGCAAATGCGGCTGCAGAATTCAAACTACAGTGCATGTTGAGCAGTTCAGCTTTTGCTTCCAGTATATATATTTTTCATTCTTGGGAGCACTTCAAGCAACACTAGTGGTACTTTGTATAGGTCCGATGATGTCACATAAGATTTACGGTGTTGCCTAAACAATGAAAAATACGCAAGAACTGTAAGAGGTCACTTTGTACTGCAACATGCTATTTACTGGAGAGATGGACTGCTTACACAGAGATAGGTAGTATCACACAGTGTTTTAAGCGGATACTAGCAACACTTGGGCTCAACAGAAGGTGGTTTGAAATTATCGTACAGTAGTACAGTACATACTACAATTCATCTTATGCACTTATAATTTGATACTGCATCTTTCCATTCATTTACATTTCCCTCAACTGCTAATGGTGTCATGTGTGGTCTGTTACATATTTCTGTGCATGTTTTGATCAAGTCTAACTTTTTATCCTTAGTGTGTATTTTATGGTAGTAAATGATAAAATAGACTAGTATTTACATATATTTTATGCACTCAGGACAACTGTTTCTTAATTTTTTTGCTATTTCTAGGATACATGGTTTGTCTAAGAGTTTTTTTTAATTTGTCACAAATCTCCAAAAGATTTTCCAGTATATATATTGAAAAAAATCTGCCTATACATGGATGCGTGCTGTTCAAATCCATGTTGTTCAATGTTTAACTGTTTTAAAAGCATCTGTGTTAAAATAAATAAAAACATCTATATTTCCATTTCTTTGAATTGTCTGTTCATGTCCTTTACCCTTTTTTTTTTGTTGGATTATTGATCTTTTTCATATTGCTTTGTAGGAACTCATTAGAAATTGAGGAAAGTTGCCCTTTAGTATATATTTAGCAAACATTTTTTTCTCACTTTCTTACTTATCTTTGACTTTCTTATATTCTTTATCATGCCAAAAGTTACTATTTTCACATAATTTTTTTAACCTTTTCTACTCTCTAACCTGATTAAACACCAAAATGGTTGGTACCATGCCTAAGAATTCAAATTAAATGACAAAACACCTAGGAAAATACACAGAAGATAAAAACAATTATTCTTTTGGATAGTCTGCTTTTAGAAAATTCCCTGGACTGATAAAACAGGAAAATCAGCAAATATTATAATACCAAAGGAGAAGGAGGTTTCTTTCAAAAAGGAAAGGAGGTTTCATAGTTTATCTGCTTGAACTAGCATTTCTTAGGAATCTACAGTGTGTTTGTGATGGATATTGTCTTTTAAAAAAAAATTTTAAATCAATTAATTAACATATACTCTATTATTCATTTCAGATGTAGGGTTTAGTGATTCATCAGTATTTCGTAATACCCACTGCTCATTATATCATGTGCCCTCCTTACTGTCCATCACCCAGTTTCCCCATTCTCCCATTCCTCTCCCCTCCAGCAACCCTCAGTTTGTTTCCTATGATTAAGAGTCTCTTACTGGGGTGCCTGGGTGGCTCAGTGGGTTAAGCCGCTGCCTTTGGCTCAGGTCATGATCTCAGGGTCCTGGGATCGAGTCCCGCATCGGGCTCTCTGCTCAGCAGGGAGCCTGCTTCCCTCTCTCTCTCTCTCTCTCTCTCTCTCTCTCTGCCTGCCTCTCTGTCTACTTGTGATCTCTCTCTGTCAAATAAATAAATAAAATCTTTAAAAAAAAAAAGAGTCTCTTACTGCTGGAAATTGTCTTAAAGGGGATAAGCTTTAGTTAATTTAGAGGTTAGGAAAGATAATGGTAATAACTAGTAGAATTAGGGAAGAGATCAAATTTCAGAAAGGCGAGGCCATCTAGGAAGTATTTCCCTAGCTGTTTTGCTCTTAAGCTTCCTGACCACTTCTCAAGTTGAGTCAGATTTCATAATCTCCATTCTTTGTTGGAAGCAAGTCCCAGGGATTGATTGATTGATTGATTTTTTCTTCTTTTTCTTTTTCTTTTCCTTTTTTTTCTTTTTCTTCTTTTTCTTCTTCAAAGATTTTATTTATTTATTTGACAGAGATCACAAGTAGACAGAGAGGCAGGCAGAGAGAGAGAGAGAGAGAGAGAGAGAGGGAGGGAAGCAGGCTCCCTGCTGAGCAGAGAGCCTGATGCGGGACTCGATCCCAGGACCCTGAGATCACGACCTGAGCCGAAGGCAGCGGCTTAACCCACTGAGCCACCCAGGCGCCCCAAGTCCCAGGGATTTAGCCTGCTTTCTGCTTCATTCCCTTCTTACTTATTTTTGGATCGTTGTGATTTAGTGTCTGCCAAGACTGGCTGTGAAATAAGATAGTTTCCCCATCCAATCTCTTTCATTGTCCTTGAAGATAAAACCTTTAAAGATAATGGTTCGTTGCTGATCACTATATGTGCACCGATAAGGGATTAAAAAAATAACAAAAATGGGGAAGCTGAAAAGTACAAGGATATATTTCTAAGTTCTTACAATAATGGGCTGGAGTTTTGGATTCCCAGACTGAGATGGTGAAAGGATGGTCAGCTGATGTTTTTTACCTTCTGATTTTATTCTCACTGGTCCTCTGCCATTAAGATTCCTCTTTGGTCTGAGCTTTTGTTCCCTGAAGGCTATATTGACTTCTTCCTTCATGTTGACAAAATAGTCTGTTTTGAATTTCTGTGTAGAGCTAGTCAGCCAGAGCAGGAGGTAATCTCTTATTTCAGGTGTAGCCTATAAACTTACTGGATTGTACTTTCTTCCTTTTTGTTTCAAGGAATAGTTGCCCTTTTTTTCCCCTTCCATGGTTCTTCCCACTGCTTGGCTGACATCAAAGTTTACTTTTATTCATATTTTTGATGTTTATATTTGGATTGCTTATTTGTTTTTAGGTAAAATTTGGAAATACCACCTTTAAAACAGACGTGTATCTCAAGTCTCTCAACCCTCAGTGGAACTCAGAATGGTTTAAATTTGAGGTAAGTTTTTAATTTTTTATATTTTTAAAAGATTTTATTTATTTATTTGAGAGAGAACACAAGTGGTTGGGGGGGACAGACAGAGGGATAAGTAGACTCCCTGCTGAGCAGGGACCTGAGCCCCGAGCCCCTCCCCCGTCCCCCGTCTCCCGGTTTGGGGCTTGATCCCAGAGTCCTGGGATTATGATTTGAACTGAAGGCAGATGCTTCTCTGACTGAACCACTCAGCTGCCTCTTAAGAAAAGTTTTTAAATATCAGCATTTTTTAGTATTTTTTTTTTTATATGACCCCTTGCTCCCAGGAATGATAGGAGTACCTTTTATTTCAGGTATAGTAGTTTTCCTACACCATAAAAGATACTTTCTTTTTTGCTTAACTAGGATTACTAAGTTCTCAAAAAAATAATGTTATAGTTAAGAAAGTACAGTGTATGAATGCAAGAACACAGATTTGAAAAAAAAAAAAAACCAGAATCCATTGAAGAATATTATTGCTGTCATATTCTCTGGATTTTAATATATACCAAAAACCACTTACGAATAGTGTACAGTTTCAGTTCTTTAAAAAATTATAGTCAAAAGTATATATTAAAAAAATGCCATTTTAACCAATTTTAAGTGTAATTCAGTAACATTGATTACGTTTACAATGTTGTATAGGCATCACTGCTATTTCCAAAACTTTTTAATTACTCCAAACAGAAACTACTCATTCAGCAGTAACTGCTCCCTCTTCTCCTAGTGCCTGATAATGTCTAATCTACTTCCTGTCTCTTTGAATTTGCCTGTGTTAAACACAAGTGAAATCATTGTGATATTTGTCTTTTTTGTGTCTGGCTTTCACTTAGCATAATGTTTTCAAGGTTTATCCGTGTTGTTATCATGTATCAGAATTTCTTTACTTTTTATGGCTGAATAATATTCCTGTGAGTATGTGTCTGTGTGTGTGTGTGTGTGTGTGTGTATGTATCACATTCTGTTTATCCATTTATCTGCTGATGGACAGATTGGGTTGTTTTCACTTTTTGGCTACTGTGAACAATACTGCAGTAAACATTAGTGTACAAGTATCTGTTTAAGTCCCTGTTTTCAGTTATTTTGAGTATATGCCCAGAAACGGAATTGCTGGGTCATATGATAAATTGTATGTTTAGCTTTTTGAGGAACTGCCAAACTGTTTTCTGTAGTGGCTACACCATTATCCATTTCCACGAGCATGTATGAGAAAAATCTAATTTTTCCACATCTTTGTCAAGCTTTGTTATTTTCTGTTTTTTAAAAAATCATGCCATCTTAGTAGTTGTGAAATGATGTTTATAGTGTAATTTTTGTCATGGATGAGGTGACATATGGTTTTTTTATGGTTTAGGACCATTTACATTTCTTTTACTTGGAACTACCATCTCATATTTTAACTCCCCAAAGAAGATACTTAGAGATGACATTATAGAGGTAGACTTCACAGGACTTGGTGACTAGCTTAATTTGGAAAATGTAAATGTGATGTGGTATGTCATTGGTTTTGATTTGCATTTCCCTAATGACTAATAATGTTGAACCTTTTTTCATGTGTTTATTGGCTGTTTGTTTGTTTTCTTTGGAAAACTGTTCAAGTTCCTTGCTCATTTTTAAGTTGGGTTTTTTATCTTATTAGTAATTTTCATGATAGTAGGATATTAGTATTTAAGAATATTAATTTCATTTTATTGATGATGCAGTACCATAATTTTTAAAGCTGCAAAGTACTCAAATAGCTTAGGTAACTTTAAAAGATATTTGTACTTTTCCTGAAATAAGGGACTTTTATAAATGCTAATGAGATTTAGCAACTAAAGTTACCAGCCATTTCCCTTAAAATTTACTAAGTTTACTATATTGTGTGAAAGATGTTCTTAAACTTTGTTTTGTAGTTAACATTAAGTATATACTTTTTTAACCTTGTCAGTTGCGATTGGCATTAGTTTATATGTTGTGAACTCTCAGATATCATGAACAAACGGATGTTTAGTTTTCTTTTATATAAAAGAAATACTGGGCCAGGCAGTATAATGATATTTTGGAAGCTCCATGTAATCATTTGGGACCCAGGATCCGTTTGTCTTTCTTCTCCATCATCCATAGTCCGTGGCTTCCATATTCATGATCACATTAGCCTCCAAGTTAGCAGCTGGAGTTCCAGTGGTCACATCAGTGTTCTAGGCCTGGAAGAAAAAGCAGGAGAGGAGGTGGTGAGTTAATACATATTTTTCAGCTGAGCGAGCACTGTTTGAGAAATTTTTCCCTACCCTATCTAGCTCTATGTAATGATTTATGCTTATATCTCAGTAGTTACAAAGGAGAGTGGGAAATTTGGTCTTTTATCTGGACATATTGCTGTGTAATTAACATTTTTAAACACTTAAAACATTTATGAGAAAGTCTTACTTTATAATTTTTCATGATTTGATATTGGCTCAATTAAATCTATGAAATATCCTTAATTACCTTATTAAAATTAATTTCTGAATTTCTCTCTTTAGATTATTTATATTATTAGCTAGCTATATATTTCATAAACAATTCTAGTCATTTAGTTCTAATGGAGCAGGGAAGGAATATCTTAATTTACAAGTACATAAGATAAGGGTTCTCATAGGTAAATGTATAGGTGGTTAAATAAGTGTACACAAAAAATGTTATTAATGGTGGTAAAAATTGGAGGGATGTCTTTGGGGCAGTGGTTAATGGCTTAGTTTATGACTCTTTCCCTTTTACTATATATATAGGGAATACTGTAATATGGAATGCCATTGATGACATATGATTCAGAATGGATTGGAAATCAGAACTATTATTTTAACATTTCATTATCGAAATTTTCAAATATGCATAAAAGTAGGCAGGTTGCCTATCCATCATCTACATTTACTTTTACCTATACATTGTGCTGTTCTTGTTTTACCTGTTACATCACCCCCTACTTGGAGGGTAGGGTGACAGGAATATTTTTTTTTAAGGTTTTTAGTTATTTGATAAAGAGATAGAGAGCACAAGTAGGCAGAGTGGCAGCCTAAGGAGAGGGAGAAATGGGCTTCCTGCATATGGGGCTCAGTCCCAGGACCCTGGGATCATGACCTGAGCCGAAGGTAGACACTTAACTGACTGAGCCCTGACAGGAATATTTTAAGGCAAATTCAAAATATTATGCAATTTCATCCATAAATTTTTAATTATGTCTCTCTTATTGAGAGGTATCCCCTTTTTGAAAGCAAATCATCCAGTCACATTATTATATCAGGGATATCAACAATAATTCCTTCTTGTACTTTAATTCTTAAAATAATCTTCAGAGGTTAGATTGTTAGTCTAAAATCAACAAGAAATTAAATGGAGTGGGGAAAGGCATAATATTTCATAATTAAGTTTAAAAAATTAACCAGAGTATATGGTTTGCAGAGATATCACTTGACCAGAGCATATGTAGGGAAAATACAGAGATTTTAGTGTACTACAAACTCTGTCTTAATGGCAGTGTGGTATATCTGCTGTAACAACAAACATTCGTAGACTGCATTTAAAAAGTATAGTATTTTAGTTGCAGGAAACAATAATCTCTTTGTATTCCATCCTTACAAATATCTGTAATATTGTGTTCCATCTAGCCACTACATTTGATGAGGAGTACTGGCAAATTAGAGGATGATATGGTATCCGGAGGATGGCAGCCAAAATAATGAACGTGTCTTCCAAAGGGAGAAATCTTTTTTTGCCTCATTCTTTGCCTTAGTCAGTTTGGCTTGTTGTAACAGAATACCATAGAGTGGGTGGCTTAAACAATAGCCTTTTATTTCTGACATTTCTGGATGCTGGGAACTCTGAGACAGAGTACCATCATGGTTTTATTTTGCTGAGGTCCCTCTATCTGGCTTGTAGATAGCGATCTTCTTGCTGTGTCCTTACATAACAGGGAGAGAGATCCTCTCTCCCCATCTTCACTTGTAAGGATCCCAATCCCATTCGTAAGGACTCCACCTTTATGACGTAATTACCTCCCAAAGACCTAATTATCTCCCATTGTAGTCCCTTTTTAGCCAGTGCTTGACATGTGATAAGTAATTAATAGTAAGTAAAAGGAGAGAGTACATTTATTTCACTTACTTAGTTCATGAGCTTTAGTTGTTTTTCTTACCAATAATATGTTAGTTTTCCTACAGTTTTATTCTGGGAAATTGTCTTTAGAAATAAATGATGGTATCGTGGTGCTCATTAACATCTTTGTTCTCCTGTAGATAATATATGGACTCTGTTATGACATTCTTTTTTTTTTTTTTAAAGATTTTATTTATTTATTTGACAGACAGAGATTACAAGTAGGCAGAGAGGCAGGCAGAGAGAGAGGAGGAAGCAGGCTCCCTGCTGAGCAGAGAGCCCGATGTGGGGCTCGATCCCAGGACCCTGGGATCATGACCTGAGCCGAAGGCAGAGGCTTTAACCCACTGAGCCACCCAGGCGCCCCTGTTATGACATTCTTTAAGCATTTTTGCTGGATATTATAAGTAGAGTAGTAAAACACAGGATTGTATGTAGAAACAGAAATTAAACATGGGCCTGGCACAGAATAATATGTAGAAAAAGAACTTAAACATGAAGCCCAACACGGCCTGAACTCATGGTGCTGAGATCAAGACCTGAGCTAAGATCAAGAGTTGGACACCAACCAACTGAGCCCCCCAGGTGCCCCAAACTATACTTTTTTTCCTTAGAAATTTGGCATCTTTTATAGAAAAAGGGATTATAACTTGTCTGTGTTAATTCCTTTACCTTTGTGCTTAGAGATAAATCTGTGTTGTTTTTTTTCTATGAGTAAGTCATCTTTTACATTTGGTATATATGTATATTTATGATAATGAAGATTGAAAAATTAAAAGATTTAATTTTAAGGTATACTTTCAGGTGGACGATGAAGATTTACAGGATGAGCCTCTACAGATCACAGTTCTTGACCATGACACTTACAGTGCAAATGATGCCATTGGTAAAGTGTACATTGATATTGATCCCTTACTCTACAGTGAGGCTGCAACAGTCATCTCAGGATGGTTTCCAATATATGATACCATACATGGTAAGGAGTATATTTTAAGAAAATGTATCATGATTATTAAAATTTATCCATAGAGATCTCTGTGCTTCACTTGTGGTTTTAGAAGATGTATATGTAAAAGATATATATATATATTTTTAAAGATCTTATTTATTTATTTGTCAGAGAGAGAGAGAGAGAGGGAGAGAGAGTGAGCATAGGCAGACAGAGTGGCAGGCAGAGGCAAAGGGAGAAGCAGGCTCCCTGATGAGCAAGGAGCCCGATGTGGGACTCGATCCCAGGACGCTGGAATCATGACCTGAGCCGAAGGCAGCTGCCTAACCAACTGAGCCACCCAGGCGTCCCAAGATATTTTCTTTTTAATAGAGAGTCACAAAGTATTGCTGGTGAAATTGTTATTTTTCTGAACATAATTTGAAGTAATCCCTGCTAAATTTGTATAATAAAGAAAGTAAATGCATGATTTAAAAATCATCTTACAAATGTACAGTGGAATTTTCTGGAGTTTTTATGATATATGATATTACTGCACATTGAATACAGACCAGAAGTAGAATCTAACTGTATTCCATGAAGCTAAACATTATAGAGAACTAAAAAAATGTAAGCGCTATTCTTATTACTAGTTTTTTGTTTTTCAAAATATAGTTATTTTTATAAAAATGTTTATAGTATTAAGTAAATACTTTTTAAAATTCCCAGCTTGCATTTTCATTTTCAATTTAATTTTTAATCTTTAATTTAATTTTTATTTTTTTTAAGATTTTATTTATTTATTTGACTGACAGAGATCACAAGTAGGCAGAGAGGCAGGCAGAGAGAGAGGAAGGGAAGCAGGCTCCCTGCTGAGGAGAGAGCCCGATACGGGGCTCGATCCCAGGACACTGGAATCATGACCTGAGCCGAAGGCAGAGAGTCTTTAACCACTGAGCCACCCAGGCGCCCCTAATCTTTAATTTTAAAAATTTTAAAAAGATTTTATTTATTTAAGAGAGAGAGGGAGAGGGAGAGAATGAGCAGGGGGTGGAGCAAAGGGAGAGGGAGAAACAGACTCCCCACTGAGCGGGGAGTATGATCCCAGGACCCTGATATCATGACCTGAGCTGAAGTCAGAGGCCCAACCGACTGAGCCATCAAGGTGTCCCTCTCAATTTTAATTTTAATTATAACATGGTGAATACTGACATATGATGCATATAAATAAAAACTCCTTGAAGTTCTCAATAATTTTTGAGATTATAAAGTGGTTCTGACATCAGAAAGTTTGAGACCTGTCAGCCTAAAAATGTGCCATCTTTTTAGAATGGCAAATGGACCCATAAGGAACTGGCAAATGTTTCTCTCTATAGTCTAGCATCTTTCTGCCCATTTTACATTTTTGACCTGGCAATTCTGTTGATAGTAGTTTATTATAATAAACTGAGATTTATGTAAAGTATATTTATTATGACACTTATATTCCATTATTATTTATTAATATTTAAAATGCTAAAATAAATTGGAAAAGAAGATTTACTTAGGTAAGTTAGAGCATATATAGATCATGAATTGTTCAGCCAGATCAAAATGCATTTTTGAGAGTAGAATGGCATAGCAAAATTGTAAAATTTTGTAAAATTCAGATTATAAAACATTGTTATAGGATGATTACATATTTGTTTAGAAAGAAAAGAATTGCATATATGTGATATGATAAATTGGCAGAATACATAATAAAATGTTTATTCTTTTTTTTAAAAGATTTATTTATTTATTTTAGAGAGAGGGAGAGAGAGAGTATGAGGAGGGGCACAGGGAGAGAATCTCAAGCAGACTCCCTGCTGAGCACAGAGCCCTATGGGGCTCCATCTCAGGACCCTGAGGTCATGACCTGAGCTAAAACCAAGAGTTGGACACTTAACTAACTGAGCACACAGGCGTCCCGATAAAATGTTTATTCTTGGATAGATTTATTTCTGAACTATAATTCTGTTTTTCCTCTTTTGCTTTATTCTGTATTTTCTATAATATAAGTGTATTATTCTTGGAGTCAGAAAATAAAATCCAGTAGTGTATTACCAATAAAACACACCACTGAAGAAATAATCAATCTTAGCTTAGTTTAGATTAAAGGCAATAGCAGTATGAATGAATGAATTTTCTAAATATTTTATATTAAATGCTGTTTATATTTGATTTAATATTTATGGACCCTTTGTTAAGAACATCATCTCATTATTTTAGTAGGTCACTCTTCTTAGAAGGCCTTCAGTAACTCTGAATTTGATTGACATGCAATCAGGACAGTCCAGTAAAAATATTTAGTAATTGTTAGGAATAGAGACTGGGTCATTTTTTTTTTTTCTCCCAAGTATTTTATTTAAATTCAAGTTTCAATAATAATTCGAAATAATGTCAAAATAAATTATTCAAAATAATAATTCAAAATAAATTCAATGATACATACAGTGTAGTGTTGGTTTTAGGAATAGAATTTACTCATCACTTACATAGAACACCCAGTGCTCATCACAAGAAGTGCATCACCCATTTAGCCCATCCCCAACCCATCGTCCGTACAGCAACCCTCATTTTTTTCTCTATCATTAAGAGTCTCTTATAGTTTACCTCTCTCTGTTTTTATCTGATTTTATTTTATTATTATGTTTTTATAAACATAAAATATATTTTTATCCCCAGGGGTACAGGTAGGTGAATTGCCAGGTTTATACACTTCACAGCACTCACCATAGCACATACCCTCCCCAATGTCCATAACCCCACCCTCCCTCCCAATCCCCCTCCCCCCATCAATCCTCAGTTTGTTTTGTGAGATTAAGAGTCATTTATGGTTTGTCTCCCTCCCAATCCTATCTTGTTTCATTTACTCTTCTCCTACCCCTTTAACCCCCCATGTTGCATCTCCTCTCCCTCATATCAGGGAGATCA